CGGCGGCACTCAGTACCGAGGAGAGCATACATACGTGCTTTAACAGGAACCGCCCTCAACACAAAAAACGTTCATATGGAACATGCTAAATCTCCCCTCCCCCCCACCCCCTATGGCACACAGACAGGTCCCCATCCGCGAACTCCCCTCCCAACAGAGAACAAGAAAAACTAGCCGCCTCTTGCGGTGCAAAAAAATATGGCTCGAGTCGGTATCACATGTCACGGGCAACATCTGATGCGGTCTTTTAACTCTGGAGGGGCCAACAGCCTCCTGCTGAGGAACTCTACAAGAAGGGCGGGAACGGCGACGACCACCGCTATGCGATGACCCAAGCACCGCACCTTACAAACACGCACTTAAATTACAACGACACCAACAACAATAAACACGACCAGCCTTATTAGGGAGAAAGAGTGACAGGAGAAGACAAATTGAGAAAGAGCATTTCATTCTACACACGCGTGTTTGTGTACAGCGTCCTCGAGACCACCCATGCAGGAACCGCAGCGTAGACAAGATGCCAGCGTAGACAATACACACCCCTACGCACGACCGCTGCTACTTCGTGCGAACACCCCGGCGGTAACACGCCCCCCCGCGTACCACCGCTTAAAAACACACACAAGCACCAAAACAAAACGTACACGCAAGCACCAGAAAAAGCACCAGAAACGTAAGCGTGGTTATTACTGGCAGAGAAGGCAACGAGAACAATAGACAAGACAGACATGTCTATTGGACGAAAACTTTTAATGGCTATTTGTACGGGGAAACAAACTAAAACTCCAGGGAGGAAGGAGGCGACTGACACCTGCCTCGCGGGCGCATGGCATTTTTTCACTGACTGCTCTCCAAGTAACCCACCAAACAAAATAGAAAACCTCGCCTTTATCCTGACACACCTACGCGCAACAAGACCGCGCCCCCCTCACCAATGTGCGAGAAAAAACAATTATCCCTCAAACAGCTTGCAAAAACATCGGAGACCAAGAGGGGCGTACCACAC